GGTGTATATGTGCCACATTTTCCCTGTCCAGTCTATCAGGGATGGGCATTTGGTTTGGTTCCAGGTCTTTGCTATTATAAACAGTGCTGCAATGAACATTCGTGTGCACGTGTCCTTATAGTAGACCGATTTATAATCCTTTGGATATATACCCAGTAATGGGATTGCTGGGTCAAATGGAATTTCTATTTCTAGGTCCTTGAGGAGTCACCACACTGTCTTCCACAATGGTTGAACTAATTTACACTCCCACCAACAGTGTAAAAGTGCTCCTATTTCTCCACATCCTCTCCAGCATCTGTTGTCTCCAGATTTTTTAATGATGGCCATTCTAACTGGTGTGAGATGGTATCTCAATGTTGTTTTGATTTGCATTTCTCTGATGACTAGTGATGATGAGCATTTTTTCATATGTTTGTTGGCCTTATGTATGTCTTCTTTTGTAAAGTATCTGTTCATATCCTTTGCCTACTTTTGAATGGGCTTGTTTGTTTTTTTCTTGTAAATCTGTTTTAGTTCTTTGTAAATTCTGGATATCAGCCCTTTGTCACATGGGTAAACTGCAAAAATTTTTTCCCACTCTGCTGGTTGCCGTTTCACTCTAATGACGGTTTCTTTTGCCGTGCAGAAGCTGTGGAGTTTGATTAGGTCCCATTTGTCTATTTTGGCTTTTGTTGCCAATGCTTTTGGTGTTTTGGACATGAAGTCCTTGCCTACGCCTATGTCCTGAGTGGTTTTGCCTAGATTTTCTTTTAGGGTTTTTAGGGTGTTAGGTCTTATGTTTAAGTCTTTAATCCATCTGGAGTTAATTTTAGTGTAAGGTGTCAGGAAGGGGTCCAGTTTCTGCTTTCTGCACATGGCTAGCCAGTTTTCCCAACACCATTTATTAAACAGGGAATCCTTTCCCCATTGCTTGTTTTTGTCTGGTTTGTCAAAGATCAGATGGTTGTAGATGTGTTGCATTGCCTCCGAGACCTCTGTTCTGTTCCATTGGTCTACATCTCTGTTTTGGTACCAGTACCATGCTGTTTTGATTACTGTAGCCTTGTAGTATAGTTTGAAGTCTGGTAGTGCGATGCCTCCTGCTTTGTTGTTTTTGCTTAGAATTGACTTGGCTATGTGGGCTCTCTTTTGCTTCCATATAAAGTTTAAGGTGGTTTTTTCTAATTCTGTGAAGAAGGTCATTGGTAGCTTGATGAGGATAGTGTTGAATCTGTAAATTACTTTGGGCAGTATGGCCATTTTCACGATATTGATTCTTCCTAACCATGAACATGGAATGTTTCTCCATCTGTTTGTGTCCTCTCTTATTTCGTTGAGCAGTGGCTTGTAGTTCTCCTTGAAGAGGTCCTTTACGTTCCTTGTTAGTTGTATTCCTAGGTATTTTATTCTCTTTGTGGCAATTGTGAATGGCAGTTCATTCTTGATTTGGCTCTCTTTAAGTCTGTTATTTGTGTATAGGAATGCATGTGATTTTTGCACATTGATTTTGTATCCTGAGACTTTGCTGAACTTGCTTATCAGTTTCAGGAGATTTGGGGCTGAGATGATGGGGTCTTCTAGATATACAATCATGTCGTCTGCAAATAGAAACAATTTGACTTCCTCTTTTCCTATTTGAATGCCCTTTATTTCTTTTTCTTGCTTGATTGCTCTGGCTAGAACTTCCAGTAATACATTGAATAGGAGTCGTAAGAGAGGGCATCCTTGTCTAGTGCCAGATTTCAAGGGGAATGCTTCCAGTTTTTGCCCATTCAGTATGATATTGGCTGTTGGTTTGTCGTAAATAGCTTTTATTATTTTGAGATATGTTCCATCAATACCTAGTTTGTTGAGGGTTTTTTTTAGCATAAAGGGCTGTTGAATTTTGTCAAAGGCCTTCTCTGCATCAATTGAGATAATCATGTGGTTTTTGTCTTTGGTTCTGTTTATGTGGTGAATTACGTTTATAGACTTGGGTATGTTGAACCAGCCTTGCAACCCCGGGATGAAGCCTACTTGATCATGGTGGATAAGCTTTTTGATGTGCGTTGCAATCGGCTTGCCAGTATTTTATTGAAGATTTTTGCGTCTATGTTCATCATGGATATTAGCCTGAAGTTTTCTTTTCTTGTTGAGTCTCTGCCGGGTTTTGCTATCAGGATGATGTTGGTCTCATAAAATGATTTAGGAAGGATTCCCTCTTTTTGTATTGTTTGGAATAGTTTTAGAGGGAATGGTACCAGCTCCTCTTTGTATGTCTGGTAGAATTTGGCTGTGAACCCATCTGGACCTGGGGTTTTTTTGGGTGGTAAGCTCTTAATTGCTGCCTCAACTTCAGACCTTGTTATGGGTCTGTTCAGAGTTTCGGCTTCTTCCTGGTTTAGGCTTGGGAGGAGGCAAGTGTCCAGGAATTTATCCATTTCTTCCAGGTTTACTAGTTTATGTGCATAGAGTTGTTTGTAATAATCTCTGATTATGGTTTGAATTTCTGTGGAATCTGTGGTGATATCCCCCTTGTCGTTTTTTATTGCATCACTTTGGTTATTCTCTCTTTTCTTTTTTATTAACCTGGCTAGTGGTCTATTTTGTTGATCTTTTCAAAAAACCAGCTCCTGGATTTATTGATTTTTTGAAGGGTTTTTTGTGCCTCTATCTCCTTCAGTTCTGCTCTGATCTTAGCTATTTCTTGTCTTCTGCTAGGTTTTGAGTTTTTTTGATCTTGCTTTTCTAGCTCTTTCAATTTTGGACGATAGGGTGTCAATTTTTGATCTCTCCTTGCTTCTCATGTGGGCACTTATTGCTATATATTTTCCTCTAGAGACTGCTTTCAACGTGTCCCAGAGATTCTAGTATGTTGTGTCTTTATTCTCATTGGTTTCGAAGAACATCTTTATTTCTGCCTTCATTTCATTGTTTATCCAGTCAACATTCAAGAGCAAGTTGTTCAGTTTCCATGAAGCTGTGTGGTTCTGGGTTAGTTTTTGAATTCTGAGTTCTAACTTGATTGCACTGTGGTCTGAGAGACTGTTACGATTTCCATTCTTTTGCATTTGCTGAGGAGTGATTTACTCCCAATTATGTGGTCAATTTTAGAGTAGGTGTGATGTGGTGCTGAGAAGAATGCCTATTCTGTGGATTTGGGGTGGAGAGTTCTGTAAATGTCTATTAGGTTTGCTTGGTCCGGGTCTGAGTTCAAGTCCTGGATATCCTTGTTAATTTTCTGTCTGGTTGATCTGTCTAATGTTGACAATGGGGTGTTAAAGTCTCCCACTATTATTGTGTGGGAGTCTAAGTCTCTTTGTAAGTCATTAAGAAGTTGCCTTATGTATCTAGGTGCTCCTGTATTGGGTGCGTATATATTTAGGATCGTTAGCTCTTCTTGTTGCATTGATCCTTTTACCATTATGTAATGTCCCTCTTTGTCTCTTGTGATCTTTGTTGCTATAAAGTCTAATTTATCAGAGATGAGAATTACAACTCCTGCTTTTTTTTTGCTCTCCATTTGTTTGGTAAATCTTCCTCCATCCCTTTATTTTGAGCCTTTGTGTATCCTTGCATGTGAGATGGGTTTCCTGGATACAGCACACCGATGGGTTTTGGCTTTTTATCCAATTTGCCAGTCTGTGTCTTTTGATTGGGGCATTTAGTCCATTTACATTTAGGGTTAATATTCTTATGTGTGAATTTGATACTGCCATTTTGGTGCTAGCTGGCTGTTTTGCCCATTAATTGATGCAGATTCTTCATTGTGTTGATTCTTTTTACCATTTGGCATGTTTTTGGAGTGGCTGGTACTGGTTATTCCTTTATATGTGTAGAGCCTTTTTCAGGAGCTCTTGTAAAGCAGGCCTGGTGGTGACAAAATCTCTGAGTACTTGCTTGTTCACAAAGGATTTTATTTTTCCTTCACTTATGAAGCTTAGTTTGGCCGGAAAGGAGATTCTGGGTTGAAAGTTCTTTTCTTTAAGGATGTTGAATATTGGCCCCCACTCTCTTCTGGCTTGTAGGATTTCTGCTGAGAGATCTGCTGTGAGTTCGATGGGCTTCCCTTTGTGGGTAACCCGACCTTTCTCTCTGGCTGCCCTTAGCATTTTCTCCTTCATTTCAACCCTGGTGAATCTGATGATTATGTGCCTTGGGGTTGCTCTTCTTGAGGAATATCTTTGTGGTGTTTTCTGTATTTCCTGGACTTGAATATTGGCCTGCCTTGCTAGGTTGGGGAAGTTTTCCTGGATAATAACCTGAAGAGTATTTTCCAGCTTGGATTCATTCTCTTCGTCACATTTAGGTACACCTATCAAACATAGATTAGGTCTTTTCACATAGTCCCACATTTCTTGGAGACTTTGTTCATTCCTTTTTACCCCTTTTTCTCTATTCTTGCCTTCTCGTTTTATTTCATTGAGTTGATCTTCGACCTCTGATATTCTTTCTTCTGCTTGGTCAATTCAGCTGTTGAAACTTGTGCATGCTTCGCATAGTTCTCGTGTTGTGTTTTTCAGCTCCATTAGTTCACTTATATTCCTTTCTATTTTGTCCATTCTTGTTAGCTTTTCATCAAATCTTTTTTCAAGGTTCTTAGTTTCTTTGCATTGGGTTAGAACATGTTCATTTATCTCACAGAAGTTTCTTATTACCCACCTTCTGAAGTCTGATTCTGTCATTTCATCACACTCGTTCTCCATCCAACCTTGTTCCCTTGCTGGTGAGGAGTTGTGATACCTTGTAGGAGGAGAGGCGTTCTGGTTTTGGGTGTTTTCATCCTTTTTGTGCTGGTTTCTTCCCATCTTTATGGATTTATCCATCTGTCGTCTTTGTAGTTGCTGGCTTTCAGATTGGGTCTCTGAGTGGACGTCCAGTTTATTGATGATGAAGTTATTTCTGTTTCTTAGGTTTCCTTCTAACAGTGTGGTCCCTCTGCTGTAGGTCTGCTGAGGTCCACTCCAGGCCCTGCTTGCCTGGGCATCACCTGCAGTGGCCTCTGCGCTTTCACTGGGACCTGCCATCCTGAGCTGTTCTTAAACGGCCATCTTGGATCGATCTCTGAGATGGATTCTTGCTCTGTCACCCACACTGGAGTGCAGTGACATGATCTTGGTTAACTGCATCCTCTACCTCCCAGGTGCAAGTGATTCTCCTGCCTTAACCCCCAAAGTAGCTGGGACTACAGGTGTGCACCATCATGCCTGGCTAATTTTTGTATTTTTAGTAGAGATGGGGTTTCTCCATGTTGGCCAGGCTGGTCTTGAACTCCTGACCTCAGGTGATCCATCTGCCTCGGCCTCCCAAAGTGCTGGGATTACAGGTGTGAGCCATCTTGCCCAGGTAAGAGGGTAAATTTTATGTTAAGTGTTCTCATCACAAAAATGAATGAATGAGTGAATAAATAAATAAATAGGGCAGGAGGAAGCTTTTGGAAGTGAGGGATATGTTTATGGCTAGATTGTGGTGATGGTTTCATGAGTGTATACTTAAAAAAAAACTCATGTTTGGCTAGAGAAACAATTTTATAAGTTAAGTATAATGTTTGAAATTGATCGCTAAAATCGAATCCAATCATTCTGCAAATAAAACCCGTCAAATAAAATTAAATGCAAATGAATCTAGGTTCATACCGAAATTCATCATTGACTCTTTCTTCTTGAAATCCAATCCACCAACTTGTAGCATACTTTGATAGCTATTAAAAGAAAGAGAAAAAAGTCAGCATTTATTCCACTTGTTTTCCTTTTTTTGCTATTAAGATTAATGGGGTTGCTGTTAATAGCTTTCTATTCTTCATTATTTTACCCAATTTTCTAAGGAAGAGTATACTAAGGCCTAGTATCACAAGAAAACCTGAAACTTCATTATTCTAAAATATTTCCTCCTCATTATGAAGAAAAACTGGAATCAAGCATGGAAAATAATTCTAGTTTCATACAACTTGAAAATTATTTTTTCTAACTCTATAAGGATTTTAAAAGTAATATTATAAATTAAAATAGAAAATTAATTTCCTGACAAAAATTTATTGACTTATCCTCTCAGTGACTTACCCTCTCAGTGATTTATAATTCATTGCATATGTCACATGTAATTGAAAACAATTCAAGGTATCAAGGCATGATTAGTATAAAAATACTGAATTTTAGGTATTAGCCTGATTGTTAAGCTTTAAACAGTGTAAGCATTCCTCCGCATCTACATAGAGAGACACAGTATAGGACTAAAGGATACTACAGAATGCCCAGTGTTTGACAACTAGAAAATTATCCTTTTGACGAGTTCGTGTCCTTAGCAGAGACTTGGATGAAGCTGGAAACCATCATTCTTGGACTAATACAGGAATAAAAAACCAAACACTGCATGTTCTCACTCATAAGTGGGAGTTGAACAATGAGAACACATGGACACAGGGAGGGCATACATGGAACGTGTATACCTATGTAACAAACCTGCACATTCTGCACATGTACCCCAGAACTTAAAGTATAATTAAAAAAGGGAACCAGATTTATATGTATCATCAGGAACACATTTCAAAATATGTACTTCTTAATATAACTTCAAACTCTATAACAAAAAATTGGAATTTTAGATTATAAATTCTATGTTAACAGAGTAATATAGTTACCACCAACAAAAAAGCCCACTTAATCTAAGGTTGTATGAGTAATGTTGTGGTGTTCAGAATAAAGATAGTAAAATTTAGTAAGTAAATAGAACAACAACAACAAAAAAGAAAATTATCCTTCTATATTTTATTAATGTTACAGCATTATTAATCACTTGGACCTAAGTACAATAAAGTGTAAAATTAAATCACCATGTGCATGTATGTGAACACATGCACACACACACACACACACACACACACACACACACACACACACACACACATTAAGGCAGATGTAGTACTGACTTATGACCCAGGAAGTTGCAATTCCCTCTTTAACTATGAAAGAGAAAGAGGCAGTAAGGATTTTTCTAAGACCTGTAAATCAGTATACTTAATGGTGTGTGTGTGTGTGTGTGTGTGTGTGTGTGTGTTGAATTGTAACTTAATTTTTATATGCTAAAATCCTGTTAATTTGAAGGCATTATATATTTAAATTTGTACTCTCATTTCTTCTGTAAAGACTGGGGAAGAAATTTTACGATACATTATTTTTCCATAATAATTTTAGCTCTCCATACAACAGAACCCAATAGCCCTTTAACAATCTAATTTATAAACAGGTATTTTTATTCTGTAAACAGTATGGCTGTCATATCCACAATTTGAGAATAATTCAAGATGGAACAACTGCAATTTTGGATCCCCGAGGTGTTGTTTTGTGGACGTGTTCTTACATGCTGAATTCAGATTCCCATTGTCAGACTTTGGAATGGGTCCATTGAGACTCGTTGTGAACTCAGTGGGGGAACCACAACAGTTTCATTCAATCTAAAGAGATTTCATGTGCTACAGGACTGAAAATCATGACCTGGATTGTTCGCTGCCCCAATTAAGGACCTCTAAAGAGAAACTATAACTGCTGCATGTTAAGTGGCATATTTATTACCACCTCAATTATGGCATGGTAATCTCCACGTGACACATCACAACCTGTTGTGATATGGCACAGAACTGAACTTCATAGGACAAGCTAGAAGATACCCAGAATGAAACATCCAATATGAAAAGTGGATGTTTGAAATTTTAGCTTAGGAAGGCAAAAGAAAGACTTATTAATATGTATTTGCATAAAGAACTGTGACAGAGAAGTAAGTTCAGGGCTTACAAAATGTCATATGAACATGCATTTACAACATCAACTACGTTTTGGTATATACAAATAGCCATTATAGTTAGCGTCATATGGAAACAGCATTTACCAAAAACAAACAAAACGCCCCAGTGACAGTCAATATATTAATCCATAAAGCAATATAAGGAAGAACAACCTGTCACCTTTTAAAATTTTCCCATTAAGAATGACAAAATGATATTTTGGAGGAGGACTAATAGATTTGATATATATTTTAAGAAGCATTTAGAAATAAAAATTTAATAATAATGGTAATTGCCATTTCAAAATGATAATACTGCATAACAGTGTAAAAATGTCAGGCAAGTGGACTAATTAGCTAGTAGTTTGTGTCAAACAACTCCTAAAATGCTTGCAGCATTTTTTCAGCATTAATGTGATTATCAAGATGGCTCAAAAAATAAATTTACTCTGATCATGCTTTATGGTCTTCTTTTACTCAAAGAGTGAGAGAGAAAACATTGACATTCTTTTTCCAAGATGGAAATATTTTATTAAGATTTTTATTTGCATCAGATTTTTAAAACTATATCTAGCTTTCTTGTTCATAATTAATTTTCTTGACATTGCAACTAAATGTTTTTGTTTTTCACAATTGTAGTCACTGCTCTTCTTAGGGGAGCTATACAAAACACATTCAATTTTAAAACATATTAAATTACTTATTTGTACTCTTCCTACATTTATAAGAGAGATGTGAGACAAAAGTGAGTGGAATGACCTCTACACATCTTGCTCCTCATCCTGGAATGAAATAATTTTTTGATTGATTGACCCATTCCAGTAGTACATTCTTAGGTATGGGGTTTCTTACTTATGAAATGTGCATGGTTACAATGAACACCACTATCACCACCAACAACAAGTGCCCAAGGTAGGCACAAATTATGCAGAAATAACAATTTCTTGGGAAGCAACAGCTTTCTTCTTTCTAATCTGACACTGTTTTCCTTTGGCCCCTGCTATAGACTAAATGTTTATGGCCCCTTAAATTTAAATATTGAAATACTAACTCCCAAGGTGATATATTACAAGGTAAGGCCTTTGGCAGGTGATAAGGTCATGAGGGTTGGGAAGGGTTCATGAATGGGATTAGCACCCTTAAGAGGGGCCCCTGAAGAGCTCCTTTGCCTCTTCCACTATGTAAGGATACATATGAACCAGGAAGTGGGCATTCACCAAACATCAAATCTGCCAATGCCTGGGTCTTGGGGTTTCCAGCCTCCAGAACTGTAAGCAATAATTTTCTGTCATTTGTAAACTGTGTAGTCTATAGTGTTTTCTTACAGCAGCCTGAAAAAACTAAGACAGTCTCCTGGCCCTGTTCTCAGTAGTTAAATCCTATACCTTCCCATAATTTTCTTTTGTAGCACCGTGGGGAGATCAGTCAGCAGCTTACCCATGAAACTGACAGGGCATTCTACATCAACATGGCCATAGGCTGGGTGACAATTTTGCCATATAGGGCACCATAACGTTTGTCTGATTTGAGATCAGAATCCTCAATTAAATCATGGGGGTGGCTATGATGACTCAAATGGCTCAGCCTGTGGGGTTTCACCCTTCCCTTCTATGGGCGCCATTAACTCTACCAGCCCCACTGGCTTCTCAATTTCCAAAGATTAGGAGATGAATTAAGAGGAAAGGTGAAGACAGAAGATCTACAGAAGTTTCCAACAGAGCTTAGCTCTGCTGGAAAGATCAAAGAAGCCCTTCATTGTTCATGTCTGAGACAGAGCTGGCAGCCATCTTTTGGGGAGGATTTTGGGACTAGCAGTTTGATGTCATGAAGACATCATGCTCTTACATGCCCTGATACTGCTGTTCCATTGTCACAGGAAGCACCAAGTAGGGTTTTTAAATGACTAGATAACATAGGAATCTAGTCATTAACATAGGAATACCCTGTCTCTACCAAAAAAAAAAAAAAAAAAAAAAAAGACTAGATAAGTAAGATGGCCAGGGTTTCTTTCCAAATTCCATCATTTAGCGGCTGTGTAACCAAGTTGCTTAACCTCTTTGAAGTCTTAGCCTCCTCACTTGTAAAATGCACCAATAATAGACTTCCCACAGAGGGTTCTTGGAAAAGTTACATTTTAGTACTCATAGTACCTGACACAGTTATGGTAAGTATGGCCAAATATCAATTCTTTTTGGGATGTGTACTTTGCGTGCCTATGGATTAGTTTTCAACCATTCATCTGGTCTCTTGTTATTGCCTTCTGAGGTAAGGAGTATGGTATCTGGCTAAAGAAATATGTGTTTTTGGTCTGGTGAGGTGGCTCACACCTGTAATCCCAGCACTTTGGGAGGGTGAGGTGGGTGGATCACCTGAGGTCAGGAGTTTGAGACCAGCCTGACCAACATGGAGAAACCTCATCTCTACTAAAAATACAAAATTACCCAGGCATGGTGGCACACGCCTGTAATTCCAGCTACTCAGGATAATTTCCGACATCGTGGTGTACAATTGAACATGCTCATATTGAACATTATGGTTTTGGCTCGAGTGTTCCATTTGTAAGAGTGGAAAGGTGACAAAATAGTGTATACATTTATGGTGGGGAACATTCCAGATCTAATGGTTGTTCTACCACTTAGTGTTTGTGAGACCATGTGATTGTTACCTAACTTCTTTTCTTCTTGGCTTTTCCATCAGAATATGATAGGAGTCACGACTTGCTTGTACCTTGTGGGCTGTATGTGCAACAGACAGGATACAGAGACACTAAATCCCCATGGACTGTGAGGAAAGACATTTCTTTTTCAAGGCTAGGATGCTTTAATACAGGGCCTCATTTTCTGGTAAACTTACAAAGATATAAAAAGATGATAGAGCTAGAAAGGATTATTGAAGATTCTGAAATGTGATTAAATTATAGGAAAAGAAAATGGCTTTTTCTTGCTCTCAGAGGTTTCCAGGGGAAAGTTGGAAGTGAGGATTTCCCTCCTTCACGCCCCCACTGTAATTTGTACATGTGCCCTTTTCACTTACTATATCATATCACTTCCACTTTCTTTATCTTTTTAAATTTAATTTATATTTTAAAAATTGACATAAAATTGTATGTATTTATTGTGTACAACATGAAGTTTTAAAGTATATATATCCAGCCTTTTTGAAAACAGAGATTCGCATCTCATACATTTTTCCATCTTTGACAAATATTCCAGTGCCTGGCACATACTTGATAATAAATGCTTATTGAAGGAACACACTGAAAAATATGCTATCTTTGCTAGTTTATTTTACTATTCAATAGGTCTTGAATGTTTCTTTCTTACTAGCCTAGTTCTGCAAGGAATTAAGTAGCCTTTCTTTACCTTAAGTTGAAACAGAAAACTACTCCTTACTATTTTCTGTATATTAGTCTTTACAAACTTAAGAATAATGTACTTTTGTAAGATTTGAAACTTCAAAACTGCCAGGCACCTCCCAAGTATTCCTCATCCCTTATTTGAGCTTAATTTTCCTCTGTGGCATTTATCCACTTATTTTTTCCTAATGTACTATATAATTCTATTTACTTGTATTAATTATGGTCTTTCTTCCCAGACAAGAATATAAACTCCATGAAGATAGAGGAATTTGTGTCTGTTTTAATCACTGCCAGAACCCTAATTCCTAGAAAGGTCTTAATAAATATGTGTTGAATGCTTGAATGAACCTCATGAAACAATCTCGACTTACTCACCATTACTGCTAACAAAGAATGAAAAGAAGTGAAATGACAGAGCAGTACAGTAAACATGTATCTCCATGATTTTCTCTTAATCTCTATAACAGGAAGAAAAACAACTCTCAAAGATCTATGGTTTTTACTGAAATTTAAATAAATGTCTGAAGTGAAATTAAAAAAACTATCCCTCCCCACCCCCCACCCCCCTCAAATAAACTTCTTTTGTTCTTTTAGGACAAAAGAAGGTGCTAAACTTTGAATTTTTTATGGTGAGTTATGTTCAAGTACCGCTTTTATTTTGCTGTGGATGAATTCTTGCTCCTGTGCAGAATGAATTGTCAGAAGATCACTGTGTAGCCAGCTACAGACAAACTCGAAGTTAGACCATTCTGAGGCAAAGTTATGAAAAAAGTATTCTGCATTCTGATGAAAGAGCCAGGGTACATCTGAAAGAAAAAGAAACAGTGAAAATAATGCCAAATTGATTGAAAGAGTGCAGATTTAAATAGGTATGCTAAGATTGACCCCAAATTATTGATTTGGTCACTCAACATTAAAAAAAATTATATATATACACACTCATGAATTTGAACACGCACACATCACACACAGACACACACACAGACACATATGCACATAAATAGATATATAACTTGCTTACTTTCCTTGGTCTGTCTCTTACAAGATACCTTCACTAGTATTAAAAGGTCAGGGATAGATACGTATTATAAAATCACACGTCATAAAAATGATTGAAGATACTAGTCCTTAATCACATTTAATGACTACATTTATTAATTATTAATTCAAACAAATTAGCTCTAGGTTGACACAAGAAAAGAGAGGTTCGATTTGAGAAATGTAACAATACATGGTATATAGGAGCACTTGTAAGGTATATATTAATAATTAGAAATTCAAGAACTGCAAGGGTAGTTCTTACCATACTGGTACCAGAATGGAATCTTGGGTTTCACATCTGCAAAGTGAAAGCAAATAACTTTGACTGATCTTGCATCTCAAGTGCATTGTCTGTGAATTACTTCAGCTCTAAACACACTGTTTTGTCCTTCATCTTTTAAAATATCATTTTAAAACAGGTACATTGTGCTGTTTGGAATATGTGGTGAATTCTCATACTTGAAGAGGAGGCTCCAAAGAGGCTTCTGATTAAAGAAGGAAGGGCATGAGCACTTGCTGAGGGCCCACTGTGTGTCATACGCTGTACTAGGTGCTTTCACTTACTCATTTTACAAGTATCCCGTTTGCTTTGTAATGTCAAAGTGACATTTCTCCCAGACTGTACTTGCACTATAAATATTCTGCAATATTAGCTGGTTACTTTAGTTCCCAATGAACTAACTTGGCATATTGCATTGGTATTGCTTTCTCTCATTTCCTATAGAAATATTTTTTGCTAAAATAGTGCAATTGGGTTTATCATGCAGGTTGTTGATATGGTGGTTTGGGGTGCTTAAATTTTACTTCTTTGTAATCCTTTACTTGGGAAAGTACTAGAGATTATTAGAAATCAAACATATAGCAAAGATCTTATTACTATTTTTACCTCTTGGGATTTTGCATATCCATTCACGTTTGGAACCACAGTGTAAGGGCAACAGTGTTTTGTTTGCCTTATAAACAGCACAGTTTCTCGCATCTTCTCCAAAATAATTATTGTCTAAAAATGAAGAGACAACCTGCAGCAGATAAAGTTCATTATTCCTTACTGATGATCCCCCACAAAGTTTCCAAAGATCGAAAAGGGCATTCCTGTACATAAGCATTATAGGCTTCTACTGGAAGCTTCAGAAACGTCTGGATGTCATTCTAGTTGAAGGTTGTTTCACATTTGTGAAGAACAAGCTAATCAATATTTAGCATGTTTTTCTTAAAGATGCTTAAAAAAAAAAAAGGTACGCTACTCCTTTCTCTAGAAGGAACAAATCAAATGAAGCTTTGGTCTGAACTTGCACATTTTTCTAACTGGGAACATTTTCTAGCTTAGGATTCTGAGTAAACTTCTTAGGGACTCAGGGGTGTGTCAGATCTTCGTATTAACTTTGATTTTGATTAGTTTGCACATATGCTAAGCTTTTTGTCTCTAATAACTAGATTCTAAGCCATAGCTAGCTTTAATCAGGAATCTATCAGGTCACTATCCATGAGTGACCACATAACTCATATAATTCATATTACAGGAGTATTAAAGACTCAACCTTCTCAAATATTTAATGACTACCTCACAGAAGAATGATGGACCACAAGTAAAATTAGGGTAAAAATTTGGAGGAAAAAAAAAAGGATGTTTTCAAATCCTTCATATGGGAGATGGTTTGGGAGACTTTTTTAAAGAGGTTTTTGATTCTTTTTCAGGATGGTTTGGAGAGACTTTTTGGAGGTTTTTAATTCTTTTTCAGGGTGGTTTGGGGAGACTTTTCAGAGGTTTTTGATACTTTTTCAGGCTAAGATTGTACAGTGGCCTCAGAACAATGTGGCTACAAAGATTTCCCAGGACCTTGCCAAAATAATTCTCCTGGTACCAAGGTCTGGCATAGTTTTGTCATGGGAGCTCTGGTCATCATTTCTAGCTTCTCTTGGTTGGTTTACCAGGAGGTTTCAGGGCCACTTGTTTTGAATCCATCCCTTTTCTCCAGGTTTGAAAAGACTTACAGGAGTTCTATCAGACCATTCCCATGAGCCAGCATTCAGTGGGTTTCTTTTATTAAATCCAATCCAGAACTGCCTTTCTTCTGTCCTGTGAAGAGAAGAAGCAAAAGCTTTACCTTTCCCATCAAATTTACAGCATTATGTCAAAGGTTCAAAAAATATTTTAAAATATTTATGTATGCAGGAAACAGGTGATGCTACTGGCAGGATTGAACAAGTCAACAAGCATTGAGCATTTTTAATGTGCAAAATCCTGTGCTATGACATGAACTGAGAGAAGAATAAACCTCACGTTCTATTTCTCTTGGTTTGTGTGTTTGCTTACAGGTGACATACAGCTGTAATACATTTTCCCCTGACATACAGGGGAAAATTCAGCTTTTATTGAGAATATGAGTTTCTCATCAGGAATAACAATTCCTTTCAGTAAGGACAAGAACACGTGAAAAGAAAATTGGTAAGAAATTTTGGAACATCTCTAGTCAAGAGGACCTTTTACTGCTTTACTGTGTGTTTGCTACTTCACTATTCTGTTTA